ATATATACAATTTTTATGTGTCAATTATACCTCAATAACGGTGGAGGGAGATACATAAATAAATCTATGTGCTCGAAGTGTGCTTTATTTGGCAAAGAACTTTAGGTGTATTTAATTTTATCGGGTTTTATGACTATAAAAAGGAGCATGAAAAGTACTCATCTGTTGACAGAAGCACACTGGGCCAAGTCTGTCAATGGAAGCAGAGAAATACCAAAGATTCCACACCAGGTGGTAGGCACCATTCTAAGGACATAGAATGCTACAGGTCACTTTGGCTTTAAAGTCTTAGTCTCGCTAAAACTTTTAAATTATTGTCAAATGACTGGTAACCATCAGGAAAATATTTCTTCCACACAGTTTATTCAAAAAGCCTGGAATGCAGCACACACTGAGAGTCAGTGGACACCTCTCCAGTAAAACCTGTTTCAAAGATCCCTCTGACTAAGTTTTAATCCCAGGCTTCTTTCCACCCACCACTCAACATATTAGCAAGTGTCTCTCCCATGGTCCAGCCACTAGTGCTAACACCTTAAACCATCGTTTCAACTGGCCTAACAATACACTTGACAGGTTAAATCTGCTAAATGCACTCCAAACTAAAAAAGATCCATTTTTGGAGTGTTTATTTTAGACTCTTAGCTACTCTCCCCTTTCATTAGCCTGACAAGAGATTTACCACACTCAAATAAGCTATCCTGAGTGTTACCAGCACTAGACATTAAGATTGATAAAATATTGTGAGCAAATAAGAGTTTACCAACTTATTTCTAATTAATTTAAATGAAAAAGATGTCCACAGTGCCTCCATATTTGGGCTTCAATATTTATTCTGAGGTTATTTCTTTAAAATACATCCTGGTATGCCATTAATTGGAACTAAAGTTCTGTTACATTCATTCTCTCTAATGGTATTTAATGGGGTAATAATTGTCAGAAAGAAATAAGAAACTGTGAAAGGTCTTTATTTGCTTCAAGCCCATACCTATTACTACAAAAACTATTTTGATTTAAGGAAAGGGTAGGTCCTGATTTTGGAGATGTTTATGTGAACTATACATGTGTTAAAACTTCACAAACAGGCTGGGCACAGTAGCTCACACCTGTAATCCCAGAACTTTGGGAGGCTGAGGCGGGTAGATCACCTGAGGTGAGGAGTTCAAGAAGAGCCTGGCTAACAGTGAAACCCTGTCTCCAATAAAAAAAAAAAAAATTAGCCAGGCATAGTGGCATGCACCTGTAATCCCAGCTACCCGAGAGGCTGAGGCAGGAGAATCCCTTGAATCCGGGAGGCAGAGGTTGCAGTGAGCCAAGATCACACCATTGCACTCCACTCCAGCACTCCAGCTTGGGCAACAGAATGAAACTCCATTTCAAAAAAAAAAAAAAAAAAAAAAAACTTCACAGACATTTAGACATTTTGGATCACAGGGGAAAAAAAATTCATAGATTTATTCTCCCAAAAGTGGAGGAAAGCCAATTTCCTATGAAAAAAAATTAAAAATAAAAAATGTTTAAAGTATATGTAAGGATTGTATATACAACCTTACATGATACACATATATAATAACCTCATATAAGGTTGTATACACAATTCTTACATGAGGTTACATATACAGATTTACAAGTCTAAGGCGATTAATCACTCATTTTTAGCAACTAACACTTAAGCACTATTATTAAAGGAACTTACAACATACAGTGAAAATGGTTTTAGTAGGATCTGATGTCAACTAACAGGCATATGTAGCAACTGACCGAATACAAAGACTCAGTTGGAGCTATCAACCAATTTGAAAGATCAGTTCCGGAAAACATGCAAATGGCTTGCTAAGCAGAATAATATAAAACATATATTCCTGCTGGCATAGTGCTTGCATCTTATAATTTCCCTAGGACTTGTTGAGCACCAGTTATTTACCAGGCTCACTACTTGGAAGTGTCAGATCTTTTTTTTTTAATTCATTTTTTGATCTCCCGTAAATTGTTAACAGTAGGTTTCAACATACGCTTGTTGAATTTAATCAGATTTCTTGTAGACCTCTATATATTTTAAATCAATGACTTTCTAAGGTCACTGCTCTGGCTCAAATCAGAGCTGACATTCTGTGAACTGAACCCTACTATAAGCCAGGCACCCTGCAACGGGGGATGATGGGTGGGGATGTGGTAACCGAAGGCAGATGTGGTAAGAAGGACAGGCAACAGGAAGAAAAGATAAAACTATTAACAAAGTAACAGAACTGTGCAGCTCACTGGATACTGTAAACAGAACTAGAGAAGACTTTAACTTGTATTTCCAAACATTACGTGAAAATTTAGTTTTTGACTTAGTTTCTAGCAGTATTTCCTGACTTGTTTTTTAAGTGCTTAGGATCCGTACCTCCCATGAATTCCCAATGAACATTATTCACTAAACTGTAAACTCTTCAAGGCAGGGATAATGCCATAGTTATTTCTGTATCGCAAACACTGGTCAATGTGCAGAGTGGTTACGTCTGTTGAATGAATGATTTGCACCATTTATCTCCCCTTTTCTTTCTCCATTTTTTTTCTTTTCCCTCTCACGCTGTTTTTCTGTGTGTATCTGTCTATAAGCTTGCCTCTATTTTTCTCTGCCGCCTCTCCTCCCTTCTCCCCTCATCCTCATCCCTTCCATTACTGGCCATATTGTTTCATTTACTGAACTGGAATTGATAGTCTCTGTTCTTAGTTTATTTAAGTAGACCATTTTTTGATCTTTTTTTTTTTTTTAATTTTTGCTTAGGCTCCCACAAATCATGAGATAAGTAGACCATTCAAAATTTCTAAATTTCTGTTAAAACTGTTTTTTTAACTATATGATCCTCAATTTATTATTATTATTATTATTTTGAGGCAGACTCTCGCTCTGTCAACCCACGCTAGAGTGCAGTGGTGTAATCATGGCTCACTGCCTCGATCTCTAGATAGTGGGCTGGGAAAGGCAGACCCACCCTGAATCTGGGTGAGCACAATCTAATCAGTTGCCAGCATGGCTAGAATATAAGCAGGCAGAAAAATGTGAAAAGAGAGACTGGCCTAGCCTCCCAGCCTACATCTTTCTCCCATGCTGGATGCTTCCTGCCCTCAAATACTGGACTCCAAGTTCTTCAGTTTAGGAGGCCCTCCTTGCTCCTCAGCCTGCAGATAGCCCATTGTGGGACCTTGTGATCGTGTAAATCAAACTTAATAAACGCCCCTTTATATATTCCTTTAGTTCTGTACCTCTAGAGAACCCAGACTAATACAGACAGGATCACCAGGCTAGTCTCGAACTCCTGGGCTCAAGCCACGCTCCCACCTCAGCCTCCCAAGTAGCTGAGACCACAGGTGCACACCATCACACCCAGATGGTTCACTATGTTGCCCATGCTGGTCTTGAACTCCTGGACTCAAGAGCTACTACGACCTCAACCTCCCAAAGTGCTGGGATTACAGGCTGGAGCTACCACACCCAGCCCAATTTACCATTTTTCAAGGTTGACTCTGAAAAGGAACACAGATATCTTCCCCTGTTCTAAGAGAAAAAGAAAGGGGCTTAACAAAATTTTATGTTAAGAAAGCATTTGAATCTGCCGATACTGTGAAAGAGGAAAAAAGTTTAATCGCCAGTTAAAAGAAAAAATAAATATAAAGAATTTAAAGTTCTCCAATTTTAAGCAGAACTCCAAAAAGGTTATTAAGGGAAAAAAAGTAAAAGTTGAAGAGTTCAACATGTACTTTTTTATTCCACTATCCAAATCTCCAGAATGTAATTGAAAATGTTACACTGCACATCTTTCTGTACCGAATATTTTATTTTAAGGTCATTTACTTCTATGTGATATTTTAAATGTTTAATCTCTATGTTACATTATATCAGAAGAAAAAATTACCCTTTTTCCTTTTAGGTACTTGACTGTGTGTCGTTTGTAATCATTGAGGGTAAAGAAGTTCTCAATGTCTTCTTTGTGAAGCAGTAATTTTCTTTCAACTTCCCTTAGTTTCCTAGATAACACTCCCAAATCACTAAGCAAAACAACAAAATCCAAGAATGTAAAGCAGTGAAAGAAAACCGTTTCATATTTAAACGCATCTTTCCTTTGACATGGTATCTTGCTCCTAACACATAAAATGTTATTTCTGATAATAAATTAATAATTAGGAATAACATGGATGCCTACCCCTTAATTTTGTATAAAAAGTAATTTTTATCAACAGAGTCAATCAAAAGGTGGCTTTGACAAGAGTAATCACATTGAAATACCAGATACTGAGGATAATGTAAACTGGAAGTTTCCCTGAATTTTTTGCTCAAGGAACCACATCTCTTACAGAAAGAAAACAACATAATCCGCCTGTAATCAAACTTGTGCTTTGAAGAATAAGGACCATTCTCCCAATTCATACCAGCTTAATGAGTGTCAGGATCAGAGAATCTCATTACGTTCGAAAAAAAGAGCACACAGGGCCAGAAACCAAAGACATCAGGTAGTTGGGTTTATACAGAAAAACCACACGCAGCCATTCTTCCGCCTAACATCGAGATCAAACGTCTTAGTCAAAAAGGCTGGCGAAATGCACGCAGCACAGGCACTGGGTACACAAGTTCCTGGTCAAGTTTGAAGTTAGTTAGAAAGATCTAGGTTCTGTGAAACCAGCAAATACTGGCTGTGCGCTGTGTATACACTGTGCACACTCTCCCCGGGCAGAGCTCAACGAAGATGCATAAATCCACTCAACCGCGTGCACCCACAGCCCTCTCCTGGTCCCAGGCACCCGAGGGCGCGCCGAAGTCCAGGCTGCCGCGGGGGCCCGGTCCACGCCAAGCCAGGCGAGCTGAAGACAGTCCCGGCCACCAGGCAGCAGCACCGGAGTCTTTTTCTCGGCGGGAAGAGACGCAAAGACGCACCCCCCGCCGCTCCCCTGCCTGGGCGTGCGGGACACAGCGTGCCGCGGAGGGCGCCGGGACCCGCAGCACCAAAGCGCGCATTGCTCACCTGGCAGAAGCACCTCTGCGCCGCGGTCTCTGGGGGCTGTTGCTCGCCGTGGCCGGAGCCGAGCAGCCACAGGGCGCCCAGGAGGCCAATCAGGAATCCCCAGCCGCGGCCCATAGCCGCTCCGGCAGCCGCTCGTCGCTTCACGCCTGGGAGTCCGCACGCTCGGCCGCAGGCCGTGCGCCCTCAGATGAAGCCCGCGCGGGCCGGCCCCGGCGGCGCCCCACCTCCGGGCCGCCTCCCAGGCCCGCCTCGGCCCTCCCGCCTCTCAGCGGTCGCCACCTCGCGACCCAGCCTGCGGACGTGCCGCGGCGCCCGCGCCGGCCGCCCGGGGCCTCGGACCGGTTCCTTCTCGGTGCAGGAGGCTGACGCACCGCCCCGCTGCCCGGCTCGGCCCCGCCCGGCCCGCTGCGCCCGCGCCCGGCCTCCTGACGCCCCCCGCCTGGAGCTGCGATCCGCGCGCACAACCCCAGACCCCGTGCAGGAGTGGAGGGTCTTTCCAGCTCCCAGAGCGAGAGCGAAAGCCGGAGGGGCCTGTGTTTTCCTGCGGGGCCCCGCCCCATCCCGCTCACTCCCGGCCAATCCGTCCGTATCTCAAGGCAAGGAAATCAAATCATACGAATTACGTGTCCGCCGTGTTCATGGAAGAGTCTTAAAGCTGAAAGGTATATTAGAGAGCATCTAGACCTGGGCAGCATATGTCATTTACATTTTCAGTAGCCACATCGAAATTGTAAAAATAACAGGTACATTTTATTTTTTATTTTAAAAAATTTTTTTAACCCCGTATGTGCAAAATACTATTTCAAAATATAATCAATATTCAAGGTATTCGTAAGATATTTGACTTTTTTGTCTTTGAAATCCAGTGTGTATTTGACGCGAACAAGACCTGTTTCATAGTCAAATGTGGCTGCTAGTCCCCACTGTATTGGACAGCGGGGGTGGAAGCCACCCTCTCTAATAGGAGCAAACAGGCCCAGTTCAGAAGTGAGATGACATGAGCAAGGATTTGGAGCTGGGTAGTGATAGAGCCACGTCCTCTAATCCCGAGTCCTGGTCTTTTAACATTCAGCCTTGGTACTTGTCTATCCAATTTTCTTTCTTTCTTTCTTTTTTCTTTTTTTCCAGATAGGGTCTACCGGGGTCACCCAGGCTGGCCTGCAATGATGCGATCACGGCTCACTGCAGCCTTGAACTCCAGAGCTCAAGTGATTCTCCCACCTCAGCCTCCCGAGTAGCAGGAACTACAGGGGTGCACCACCAAGCCCGGCTAATTTTTTTGTTTTTAGTAGAAACAAGGTTTCATCATGTTGCCCAGACTGGTCTCAAACTCCTCAAAAGCAATTCTCCCGCCTCAGCCTCCCAAAGAGCTGGGATTACTTTTCTGTGAGTGTATGTGAGACAGTCTTGTTCTGTCGTGCCGGCTGGAGTTCAGTGGCAATGATCTCGGCTCACTGCGACTTCTGCCTCCCAGATTAAAGCGATTCTCTTGCCTCAGCTTCCCAACTAGCTGGTATTACAGGCGCCCGCCACCACACACCCGACTAATTTTTTGTATTTTTAGTAGAGAATGGGTTTTGCCATGTTGGCCAGGCTGGTCTGAAACTCCTGACCTCAAGTGATCCACCCCCCTCGGCCTCCCAAAGTGCTGGGATTACAGGTGTGAGCCACTGAGCCCAGCCTAAGACAGTTTCAAGGTGAAACTGGAAGCTTTCCGACATCTTGCATGCACATTAAAAGTTGAAATAGTTGAAATGACTTAAACTGATGTATTTTGCTGCAAACCCTAGACTTCTGTCTATCACCGCCAAGTAGACTGAAGTGTAGTAAAAAGTCAATAACCCATCTGAGATCCTGATGGACCTGAGAAGCTCTAATTCTAGTATCTACAACATGCCACATGTGCTTATTAATACAATCTCCCTTCTAACCTGAAAGCTCTTCATATGCCTATATACAGGCCCCACTTATTCCTTTTAGGGCCAGACCTAGTTTGTGTTCTCTGTGCTGTAAGCGGTCTTCCTGGTTTCCTCCTAACCCAGTTCCAGTTTCTCAGTGATTTCAATTCAATAAACTTACTCTGTGGCAAACTGAGCTTAACAGTTAGGATACAAAGATGCATAAGGTCCAGTTCCTACACTTGGAGAGACATCCATAGAACTTAGTATATAATCTTTTTTAAAAAAATTTACTTGACAAATAATAATTGTGTATATTTATAGGATACAATGGGATGTTTTGATCTATGTATACATTGTAGACAGATTAAATCAAGCCTATTAACAGATACATTGCCTCACTTTTCATTGAAAACTTTTCATTTTTCAATGATGAGAACATTAAAAATTATTCTTTTAGCAATTTTGCAATTATTATGAACTATTTTTAGTTTTTTGAGGAACATCCATACTATTTTCTAGTATGGAAAAAAAGTATTTTTAGTTTTTTAAAACTGAAAATAGGCCGGGTGTGGTGGCTCACACCTGTGGTCACCATGCAGTGCGTTAGATCACTAAAACTTATTCCTGCAGTCTAACTGAAACTTTGCACCTTTGATCAACATCTCCCCTTTCCCGATCCCTGCCCACCAGCGTCTGGTAATTACCTTTCTACTCTGTTTCTATGAGATAAACTTTTTTAGATTCCACATGTAAGTGAGATTATGTGGTAATTGACTTCCTATGCCTGGCATATTTCACTTGGTATAGTAGCCTCTAGATTAATCCATATTGTCACAAATTACAGAATTTCCTTCTTTATGGATATATAGTATTCCACTGTGTGTGTGTGTGTGTGTGTGTGTGTGTGTGTGTATATATATATATGTATATATATACACCAGATTTTCTTTATCCAGTCATCTGTTGATGAACATTTTTGTTCCTATATCTTGGCTATTGTGAATAATGCAGAAATGAACATGGGATTATAAGAAACAATATTATGAAAATAAATAATCTGATTTGAAAAGCGGCAAAGGATCTGAACAGATATTTTTCAAAAGAAGACATAAAATGGCCAACAGGTATGTGAAAAAATGTTTAATATCTGTAGTCATCAGGGAAATGCAAATTAAAGACACAATGAGATGTCACCTTAATACCTGTTGGAATGGCTATTGTCAAAAAGATGAATGATAACAGGAGCTGGAAAGGATGTAGAAAAATGGAAACCCTTATACACTCTTGGTCAGAATGTAAATTAGTACAGCCATTTTGGAAAATAGTATGGATGTTCCTCAAAAAACTAAAAATAGGCCGTGCGTGGTGGCTCATGCCTGTAATCCCAGCACTTTAGGAAGCTAAGGCAGGTGAATTGCTTGAGGTCAAGACCAGCCTGACCAACATGGTGAAATCCTGTCTATACTAAAAGTAAAAAAATTAGCCAGGCATGGTGGTGCGCACCTGTAGTACCAGCTACTGTGGAGGCTAAAGTGGGAGAATAGCTTGAATCCAGGAGGCAGAGGTTGCTGTGAGCTGAGATCATGCCATTGCACTCCATCCTGGGTGACAAAGTGAGACTCTGTCTCAAATAAATAAATACAAATAAAATTGATATGTCACAGAAATATCTGCACTCCCATATTCATTTCAGCATTAGTATGTAATCTTTTATATTTTCTACTTCATATTTCTATCATTGAATTGTAACATCTTTTTTTTTTTTTTTGAGACGGAGTTTCACTCTTGTTACCCAGGCTGGAGCGCAATGGCGCCATCTCGGCTCACCGCAACCTCCGCCTCCTGGGTTCAGGCAATTCTCCTGCCTCAGCCTCCTAAGTAGCTGGGATTACAGGCACGCGCCACCATGCCCAGCTAATGTTTTGTATTTTTAGTAGAGACATGGTTTCACCATGTTGACCAGGATGGTCTCGATCTGTGAACCTTGTGAACCACCCACCTGGCCTCCCAAAGTGCTGGGATTACAGGCTTGAGCCACCGCGCCCGGCCTGAATTGTAACATCTTTAAACTTCTTGAGCAGGGATTGTGTTTCAAATGTTCCCGAGACTCCCAGAGATCCTTAACAAGGATCTTGTCTTTGTACATGTCTGTGGAATAAATGAAAATCTTTCATTGGCATCAGTACTAATAAATGAAGTTTAGGCCATCAAAAATGGGAAACACAATAAGAAGAAGGGGAAATGAGTAAAGCCTAAAAGGAAGCAATCTGAATATGAATCAGCTTCACATTTTACCCTAATGCAACGGCCTGTAACCTAGGGGAGCTTAAAAATGTCAGTGTTCCTGGCCAGGCATAGTGGCTCACACCTGTAATTCCAGCACTTTGGGACTCCAAGGCTCCCAAAGCCTTGGATGGATCACAAGGTCAAGAGTTCAAGACCAGCCTGGCCAACATGGTGAAACCCCATCTCTACTAAAAGTATAAAACTTAGCTGCGCATGGGGTGTGTGCCTATAATCCCAGCTACTCCAGAGGCTAAGGCAGAAGAATTGCTTGAACCGGGACCCAGGAGGCGGAGGTTGCAGTGAGCTGAGATCACTCCACCACACTCGAGCCTGGGCTACAGAGCAAGACTCTGTCTCAAAAAAAAAAGTCAGTGTTCCCATAATAGAAATTATTTTCCATAAAACTCAAACTCTTGCTCAGAATAAATTTCTAGCAAACTTAGAAACAGTATACACATATTTTTTTACTTTGTTCTCTAGATAATTAATTTTTTCTTATAAGAGATTTTAGACTAAGTAAATACAGTTTTATATGTGTGATGTGACTATCACTGAAGTGTCCCTGAGAATCCTTCAGGCTGGTCCTTTGTATAAGTTTCCTTCTTCAAATAGACCTGTTCAGACAATCATCTCACCTGTGTTAGGGCCCATGAAATCACTGATTAGTCATTCAATAACTATTTAAAGAGCACCCTACAGGGAACATGGATCACCTTTGATTTCTGAAAGCCCAGCCTCCCATTCATTACAACTTTGCTAAACAACATTACATGTTTTAGTGATGAACAAGGTCACAAACTTGTTTTTCTAATACTAGTGATTATAACAATAACATGACTTAGATTTAATGCAGACTGCATTTCTTGATGGAATTCTGATTACTGTGTAAATAACAGCTACTATTTTTTTTTTTTAATGACCAAAGCAGGAAATGGCTTGAGTCCAATTTCTTAAAATGGTGTATGGGGATTTCTGTGGGAAGTTTCTCAGTACCTAAATGATTTCTGTCATTCTGAATTGTCAGTACCTAAACAAGTCCTGTCATTGAATAGACTGGAAGCAAATAAAGGAAATAGTTTGGTAAAAGAAGAAATGCTAACTAGAAACCTACAAGTTTGGTGCTGATTTTTTTTTAGAATCATAAATGTTATTAATAAC